ATTACTTCACTAAGTGGCCAGAAGTCTTCGCCATTCCAAATCAAGAAGCTTCAACAGTTGCAGATAAACTAGTTCATGAAGTCTTCTGTCGTTTTGGTGTACCTTTAGAGATTCACAGCGATCAAGGAAGGAATTTCGAGTCTCAAATATTCCAGGAAACTTGCCGAGTTATGGGTACTCATAAAACACGAACGACTTCTTATCACCCGCAATCTGATGGAATGGTGGAACGATTTAATCAGACATTGGAGAGGTACCTAGCAAAAGTTGTAGACAATCGGCAACGAGATTGGGACAAGCACATACAACCGTTTTTGTTGTCATATCGAAGTTCTGTTCACGAAAGTACAGCAGTGACACCAGCTTTCGCAAACTTTGGAAGAGAATTACGGCTGCCTGCAGACCTGATCACCGGGATACCACCTGATGCCCCACGCAGTATAACCGATTATGCAAATGACTTGCGGAACAAAATGAATGAGATTTATGACCACGTCAGACAATCGGGCCAGCAAATGTCTGAGAAAATGAAAACCCGGTACGACCGCAAAATGAACAATAAAGGGTTCAACGAAGGTTCATTAGTGTGGTTGCACAATCCAGTCCGCAGCAAAGGGAAATCTCCTAAGCTTTAAGCTAAATGGGACGGCCCGTACCGGATTGTAACCAGGATCAACGATGTGACCTACCGGATACAGAAAGGCGCAAGAGGGACTCCTAAGATCGTCCATGTGGATCGCTTGGCGCGTTATTATGGGACCGATAATGCTCGGGACGAGCATGTCTTAGGAGGGGGCAGTGTTGCATAAATAAGTCAACTAGCGCCATCTAGTGTCAGGAGCGAGAGCGAGGAGAGCTTTGCAGTAAATGACATCACAAATCTTTCAACCGACAGCGCCACCCGAAGAACTAAGTTTCTGGAAAATCTACACTCGAATACTCGTTGCCTGGCGCGCATTTACTTGAATGTTCGGGACGCTTCTTTGCTAATTATATAAATAGGCGCTGCAAGATGCGATCGGGGCAGAGTTGAACTCGGCGACACAAGCGAGGCTTCGGAGCGGAATTGGGTGAATTAGTGTGTTTAATTATTAGTGTTTTTAGTTTTAATGTGTGTAAAGTAAATTAAAGTGTTAATTTAGGTAATTTTATCGGCAATTTTTATTGTCACGAACCTCAAGCTCGTAACAATATTATATATATAAGTATAGATAATGATTTTTTGTATTATTTTTTACGTATCTTTTTTATTTTTTTTGTTCTTTTTTAATATATGATTATTTTATTTTTATTTCTAATATCACACCCCAGTGACACCCGCATCGCATGGTGCTGGCAGTGTACGCGATATAAGGATTTTTCGACGTTACTATTTAATATTTTAACATGGAAAAGTAGTTATTGTGAAATAACTATAATAGTTAGACATATGGTATTTCAGACTTTTATGTAGATATTGATGTCCTCCATAAAACTGTAGCACATCACTTTGCTCTGTTGTCAATAGTTTCCACAGCGTACGCGAAATAAGGCTTTTTTTTTGGTATTTTTTTCACACCTTGTGTTACATTAACGAAGTTTTCATACGGATTCCTAAATTTTTTGAAAACGTTCTATAGCCTATGTTCATCAGGAATAATGTAGGATTCTAATGGTGAAAGAATTTTTCAAATCGGTTCGGTAGTTTCAGAGCCTATTCAATTCAAACAAACAAACAAACAAATCTTTCCTCTTTATAATATTAGTGTAAATGTTTAACTTTACACAAGAAAATATAAAATACAATAAATAATTCTTACAACATAATTATATATTAAAATCTAAAAGTAATGATATATTTTAACGTAATTTTATAATTTCTCCTCTAAGAAATTAATAATATTACATAATTATTATATTCCAATGTGGTAATTCTAATAAATTAATAATTTTAGATACAATATAAATATAATTTACCTACCTTATAATCTATGTACATAAATAATTTTATTTTAAACTATGTACGCAATGTAATAATTCTTAAGTATACTGATTCAATAATAAAGTTTTAAATGCAGTATAACCTAATCTAAATAAGATAGTCTAAAGCATGCACAACAAAATAAATCTTTACATTTTAAAACATTTAGCTATTAGGCTACTGTCGCTTCACATTGTTTCTTCCAGGAATAGTAGAATTACAGACTCGACTTTTCTACAGATTTATTAAATGTATAGATTGTTTACGTCTAGCATCCCATCATGGACTATGGGAGGAGTCATTTATTTCAATAAGTCGAATTGCTGTTTGGCTATCCAGTTAACTTAATAAAACATGTGCATCTACACACATCCGAAAACCAACCGCCAACACTAACCGTTCGGTTTTCGCGGCATTCGCCGTGCTATTTGCAATGATAGAAATTAGCGACGGCAATAGATGTGCTTCGATTTTCGACACGTAATAAGACCATAGGCATTTGTTACTCGATGTTACAATAATATTATATAATGAGCAATGTTTTGAATTGTTTACTGTTGATATAATTGTTTTTTATTTACCCACATATTTATTTTATATTTTATGTTAGTTGGAATTTGAAATGTAATTGTCAATATTCTTACAATTATGATTACTCAATGATCAAATAATGTCGCTGCAGCATTTGTTTCGACGTAAACTTATTTTTCTATTTTAAAGTCAATCCTGTGTTTCTCACACAAATGAATGTTCCATTCTTATGCGAAATAAATTTCTTAAACCACAATCCACGCGACCATATACGTTGTTTTATAAGGCGCGACCGCTGCAAGGTTCAGTAGTCTCGTTACACTTTTATTGTTTATATGTTGCTAATATAAACTAGTCTCGTAAGAAGTGCCGTTGTGCTTGCGTGTTCAATTTTAAACCTAATTTGTAACATCTAAGGGTTGACTTTAAAAAAATAAACATAAAACTAGTCTCGTGGGGAGTGTGCATGTCACATTTCGATTATCACTACGATGTTTATGAAATATTATATATTGGATTATTTATGATATTGTTTTAAATGATTATAATGGAAAGAAAGCATATATCGCAATAAAAATTCATACATATGGAATGTTACTCCATATTTTTGTAAATTTGAAGTATTACACTTCTTATTGCACACGTTAACCGCACAAATCGGCATTTTTCAAAGAGCACCTACAACGACGAAAAAGATTATTTATAATGACGAAATCGATTCTGTAAACAGTTTTTATAAACGCACAAGATTTTTAAATCCATTACTTACGCAAAGGGGAATAATCATGCGAGGCGAGTCCATGTTTTAGTCGTGCGAAGTATCTTCTTAGTGGTCTGTGCTCTAATGAAAATGATTAAGAAAGTACTATTTGATAATGATTTAAAATGACAATTGTTAGGTTCAAAAGAACTAGAACCCAGAGCTGAAAAGGTAGTTAACTAAAAAAAATGACAAATGTCATAATGACATAAAACTGAAAATGAAACTGTTTTCTATACTAGAGATGAGTCGTACTAGGTAAATTTCGTACTAGGTGCCCCTAGTCCAATTCCGTATAAATACTCGATCCAAATACCTGTTCCACCTAGTCCATAAAGTATCAAGTACACATAAAGTTTAGTATTGTTGGAATAGGAATAGGATACGCTATAATTTCAAGTACCATATTTTATGTGCGTACTGCTGAAACGTGTGCAATAATGAATTCATACATCTTCCCTTCATACTTTACAAAATTATTATAATTATTCTCGTTACTAAATTACGAGAATTAAGGTTATATGAGAAATAAATTAAGATCATTTACTTCCAATTACTTCAAATGCTACTTAGTAGTACTTCATATTTTGTAAAATTTGTTTTAAAAGATGTTTATCTTTGATTTATTTGAAAAACTCTAGAATGGGAGTATTCACCTATTGATTTTGTATGTCTTGATTTTAAGCTGCTATGTTTTTTTTTACTATTGCTATAATTCTATAATTGGTTGATGCAGCTCATACTAATGATGGAAGGGAGATTTTAAAGTGGATTATTTTCATTTATCTCTCATATAATCTTAATAGTAACGAGCCTAATTATAATATTTTTTTAGAATATTGTTTGCATAATTCTTATAAATAACATTAAAAAAAGAATTGTTCTGAAAAATAAAAAGTGAGTTTGTCAGTTCCGGCGCACGACTGAAGTTCACTCCTTACGAACGATTATAAAATATATAAATTGGAAAATGTGGGTAAATGAACGCATTTTTATACTACTAAAAGCATGCATGACACATTTACTTATATCAATTATTTAATGTATATTCATCAAAATATATTACATAATCATCGAAGCGTAAATTGTTTACGCTTCCAATACTATGTTATGTAGTCATGGAAACATGAAAACAGCGTCCACCGAGATCACATTCGCATGAGTCCGTACCGTATTTGACAATAGACACTCGCCTGCCTTGTATTCTTGTATAAGTATTTGGTTGAACTAGTCCGAGTCCCGACTAGTCTCGTACTAGTATTTGGTTGAACTAGTCCGAGTCCCGACTAGTCTCGAGTCTCGAGTATTGACAGACAAAGATAGAAAGACTACGGAATAGTCCAGTTAAAAAAAGGACAGAATATATTATTACACAACAAACACGAGTGCGCGTCACGTTACCTTTATGTTCATTAAAATTTGGTTCAAATTCAAATGACTGACAAACTAATGATTTAGGCAAAGACGACCCGAGTTGACGCCTAGTAACTACAGTCTACGGCAACAAAATACGAGTACGACGCGTAGGCACAGTGAGACTAGATGGATCAAGTATTTTAAAAGTTGGAATAGGTGCAACCTAGTCTCGTTAAATACTTAGTTAGTTAGTTAGTCCCTGAATCTGTTCTAGTATATACGCTTCATCTCTATTCTATACTCAAAGACAAACTGTCTGAGGGTGTCGAATTTCGAAAACTAAGAATAACATCCATAAATTATTTTTTTATAAAATAAATAACAATTAAAAATATGCAGGTAAATGAGTTTAATATATACATGTTATGATTAAATGTACTCTGTGGTTATAATAAGAAGTTCAACATTAGTAACATCTTATAATTTTTGGTTTTTACTCTAGAACCCTAACGAGGATACAGAATGGAACGACATCCTTCGCTCAAAAGGAATTATTCCTGCCAAGGAGAAAGAAATATCCGAAGAACAAATTGTGAGCATGATTGAGGAGACTATACAAAATAAACAAGCAGAGAGTAAGTTTCTAAATATTTTTTACAAATTTTAGGTTATGTACACCTGATACGTCTTAGGATGAATTCTTAAAATATATGGTGTAATTTGGTAATCTGATAATTTGAACATTATGTTTATCTCTCAAATAGAATTACATGCATGTTTTACATTTACCGGGTACTATTATTCTGAATACAGACCATATCTCATTTTAGAGGGGGCATGGATGCCAGTGGTTACAACTTCAGAGCCTTATTTTGGGTTTTCTTTAGTAATCTGCTGCATGAATATACGGTCGCCGAGTGGGTGGGGTAGGGGGGGGAGGGGGGAGGAACCTCCCCCTGAAAGGAAAAAAGTGCCGGAAACCCCCCCTTTTTTTTTTATGAATTTTTAAAGTTTTGTTACATTTAAGGAAAATTTGCTTTCGTTTAATAAAAAAAAGGGCGTCCGGCGACGAAAAACTCACATTCAGGTCCCGGTGGGAATGTGGCAGTATTTAGGGTGGGAAAAACGGTGGGAATTAACACTATTTTGACTCTGCTTCTGCTCCAGCGCTGCGGGGAAGTGCAGCCCTTTCGCCCTTGCGTAACTAAGCGCAGGCAGCGTACGAGCCTCGTACGCTGCCTGCGCTTAGTTACAGCGGGCGAGGGCTGCATTCCCTCCGCGCCTCCGGATTTTCATATACACTCTAGGGGTAAGAGCGGAAAGACCACGTGGAAGTTGGGGTTGACAGATTTGGTTTTGTGATTTATACCTTCTGGTACTAGGGTTTGATCAAAAGAAATGACCAAATATAATATTATAAAAACATTTATTTATATACATGGTTTAATTACTTTAATTAGTTCCATAAAAGGATCCTTTTTTTTTCTTTGCACTGACCTTCTCCACAAATATTCTATAATAATGTCTGAAAAGTTTTCCGGGTGGTTATAATTGTATTTACTGAAAAATCTTTTAACTACCCGCCATTGCGATTCGATTCTTTGAGTATGAGTGCCATCAGGGGCAACAAATGGGTTCTTAGGATCTGAATGGTTCACCTTCTTGAGAATGTACCCATGTTGCCCCAAACAATCATAAGCCCTCCAGAAGTCGGTATGGATTGTGGTGCCCTCAACCACATTTTTTTTTAATTAGGGGCACTAGTATGTCTGCTGACCTGATGTTTTCAGGGCACACCTCTAGTCGTAAATCCTTACTTCCATCCTCAATGAGGCCGAGGATCCAGTGGCCCTCAATCTGCCTTCCTAAAATCAACAATAAACAATTTAGAGTTAGTAAATATTCAAGATATTTATTTATTTATTTACTCTATATTGTACAGTGTACACCAAAACCCAATAGTACAAAATTACAAAAAAAAAAAAAACAATACAAAAGTACAAAATTTTATAGCAGAATATGTACAACAGGCTGTCTTATCACTCTGAAACTGATTTCTTCCAGATATTTTGGCTTTAAAAGGTATTCAAATATATTTAATAAAAGGTATTAAAAGATAATTTGTGTTCAAAAGTAAACTTTAAAATAAATAATGTGTAATAATTTAAGACTAACATAGGTTAAGCTAATTTACTAACATATTATATGTAGGTCTGAAATAAATTTAATTATCATTATATTATTATTATAAATACATATCGCTGCTTTGCACGAATAACCGCACAATCCAAAAAAACACATTTTACAGGGTAGCTATTTGAAAATTAAACAAAATATTTACTGTCATAACTTTTCATGTTTTTAATCATTAGAAGAGTAGAATATATAAATCGAAAGTATATTAATCAAGGTTTGATTATAATCTAAAAATTCAGGTTTTGAGCTGCGAATACCTTAATTAATAATTAAAAACTATGACTTATTCGACTTGTTACAAAATGAGTTTTGGTATATTATCATGAATAGGAACATAAATCAAAATAATACATATGAATAGTTCTCAATTTTAGTTTTACAATGGCATAACTGGTAATATGATCTACAAGATATTAAAAAAAAATCTGTAATAATGACACAATTACGATAAAGATAATATTAATGAAAAGTGTGTTCAAACACAAATCAATTTATTTGTTTTATGCTGAAGCCTTCGGAACGATTTTTTCTGTAGAGTAACACATTTCTGTTTATCATATTTAGAGATTAAACAAACCTGTAGAAAACTATTTTTATTATTATTTATTTATTATTATTATTGTCCACATTTTATAACAATTTGCAGTATGTCTATTACTGTCATCAAGCTACCAGTACGCAGATTAAAATGATCACGTTAACATTAAAATATTAGGAATCACAAACATAAAAGAAATCGAACCAACGATACCTATCTATTACGCTTCTTAAAAGTAATTGGGAAAAATAACATTATGAACCATGAACATAAATAAAATTCTAACAAAGTTTTGCTTTTTAAAAATATTTAGGAACATTATGAACCATAAACATAAAAAAAATCAACAAACTAAAAATAATTAGGAACATGATGAACCATGCTTAAACATAAAAAAAATAACAAACTTGTGCTTATTTTAAAAATAATTCGGTTAATTAAAAACAATAAACAAAAAAATCTATCAAACATTGGACAACTACCGCATAATCAGTCTTCTTCAGGTACACTTAATAATAAAAATTAGAGATTCTCAAAAAACGGTTTATAAAATCTTGGTACAATATTTTTCCTAATAAGGTCTAGCAAACCCTTCTTCTTCTTCTCACATATTGGGATTTTTTCTCTGTATGCCTTTTTAACAGTGATATTATTGGCAGTGTTTCTTGTCTTACCAATTTTATCTATCATGACTGTTTTAAACTCTGTGTCCTCGTACGATATTTTATAGGAAAAACAGTAATTAGAGTCATTAGATTCCACCTTTAAAATTTTGATGTCTCCTAGCTTTAACGTTTCTTTGTCCATATTCTTAGAAAAATTTTTGCCTATCGATGAAGCCAACGCTTTTATATCAAAAAAATCTTCGTGTATTAATTCATTTACTTGATAGGCTTTACCAGATTTTTTAGCATTTCTTATAATGTGCACATACTGGTCAGGTGTATATATGGGTCCAGACTTTAGAGCTTTACCTACTCCTCTTTCAATAAGGGAGTGGACATTATCACCCTCATTTTGAGTGTGCCCTTTTATTAAGTATTTGTGGGTTATTGAATTAATAAAATGGTAATTGAATAAAATCGAGATGGTAAACTGCATATACATAAAGAGCTATTATGTACTGGTTCTTTTGCTGGCCACAGCAATTGTTGGAATAAAAACTATATCTAATTTTGAGTCTAGTTCTCCAGCTTTAAACTTTAAATTCTGTATGTATTTAAGCAAACAAAATCCTATTTCTATAGCACCGCGTTTAGCTTCACCTTCATACCAGACATAACATGCAGTGTCTTTAGATTTGATATCGCATATTGTGAAATTATACGTATTAATTTTGATACGTAATAAAAGTTTGATGCATCTCCTCTAGGACAAGGCATTGCAGCCTGAAGATCATAAACTGCTGCAATACAATTATCAGGAGTAAATTTTTTGTCATCTTCTTTATTTTGCCTTGACAAATCCTTCTCTTTTAAATGTCTATCAAACTTTTCTTTCAGTTCTACCTTATCGTTTTCTGTGGCATTACTGTATGATGTACAGTCCTCACACTGATCTTTTTTTGGTTGGAAAAAGCTAATGTTGAACTCGTTGTTGAAGATCCTGTAATACATAAGGTAATTGGCGCTTGGTAGACTTTTTGACTGACAGTCGATTTCGTAATCCCTATGTAAGTCTGCTACAGTTTTCCCACCATCAATATAAAGCCTTTTTGTGTCTGCACGACAGTAGTGACTTTCAATTTTTGGAATTGAGTTGATGTGTTGTATTACACTTTCTTTAACAGCCGGATCTAAATGAAAATGTTGACTGTGTTTGCCACGATTATCCAAATCTAACATGCTACATGAATTCTGCTTCTTTTGAATAACAGTTCGGATAAAGGCATCAGTTATATCTAGCGTAGCTTTAAAAATACTTTACACACTCGAATTCTCTCATTATCAATGGTCAAATAAAAAGCGTTGTTTTTCCATCGGTTACTGTTATGCATCTTGTATGAGTATCGTGGTTGAATGACGGAAAGATGGCGTAAAATAAACTCCCGTTGCCTTTGCAGATCTCCCATGCTCCAAAAGCTTTCAAAAATTTCTTTGCGCTGTGATTCTGTAATGTTTTGTGTACATTTTTGTTTGCATTTATCAGTACACGGTGTTTTGAGAGACTTTGCAGGCACAACGGTTTTTCCCTTTTTAGAATTGGATATATAGGACTTACCAGAGTTTCTTAGGATTTTTGCCTTGTTACGCAACCAGTTATTGGGTGTAGATTTTCTTTTCCGTCCTTTATTTGAGCTGATATTATCGTTACAACCAAGATGTGTAGAATTGGTATCAGCAGTAAGTTCTAAAGAAGTTGGAGGTGTAGTACGTGAAGTTGAAGCTAGAATCATTGCGAGAAATATCTTCTTCGATGCAGGTAGCTCTTGTAGGAAATATATTATTGTCTACCCTAGACTGAACCACTGCTGTTAAACGTTCATTATTCAATTCATCGTCTGATGAACTCTCGGAATCTGAGGAACTAGATCCATCGCTTGAGCTGAATGAACCAGATCCATCGCTTGAGCTACTACTAGATTCTGTTTGCATGGGGGCTATCGGCATAGGTATAGGTGAACTTGTTTGGTTTATGGTGGAAACATCGTTACTGAAATTGTCATATTGTTTTTCATTTAAATCTACTCCACTCAACAAATTTTTAAAAACTTCTCGGTTTTTATTTTTCAAAAGAGACCTCTTTGTAGAACAGGGTGTATCGATATCTACATAGTCAGGATCCTTCACACTATCATCTGAGCAAAAGTCTTCACTAACATTAGATAAATCTTTATTTTCAATATTATCGTTAGGCTTGGGAGATAAAATGAACTGTTCCTTTTCAGTGAATTGTATGGAA